AATAACCAGTTAAAATAATAAAACAGATTTTTAAATACTAAAAATTAAAGAAATATAAATTTATACTTTTTTAAATAAACTATTAAAATTATAGAGAATTCTGCTTTTTAGATCTGCTGTTTTCTGTAGTTTTATTTGTTTAATATAATAGATAGAATTACAGGATAAAAAGACTTAGTATATATTCTAATATAAAATTTATTATTATCTATATTTTAATATAGTAATATTTAGCTATAATATTTAGCAAGCTATTACTAGCCCAATATAAAAGTTATAGATTTAATTTTTATAGTTCTAGAATAAGAATAATTTTTTTTATCTAAATATTAAAAAGGAATTACTAATATCCTATTTTTCGAGTCCGAACATATATGCTGATTCCCTATATAGATACTACTGTTAACTTTAACAACTAGTTAAAACAGTAAAACAGATTTTTAAGTACTAAAAATTAAAGGGGTATTTTACTATACTCTTTTAAATAGACTGTTAAAATTATAGAAAATTCTGCTTTTTAGATCTGCTGTTTTATATAGTTCTATCTGTTTAATATAGTAGATAGAATTACAGAATAAAAAGGCTTAATATATATTTTAATATAGAATTTATTACTATCTATATTTAAATATAGTAATATTTAGCTATAATATTTAGCAAGCTATTACTAGCCTAATATAAAAGTTATAGATTTAATTTTTATAGTTCTAGAATAAGAAAAATTCCCTTTATCTAAATAACAAAAGGAAATTCCTAATATACTATTTTTCAAGTCTGAAAATATATGCTGATTCCCTATATAGAATATAAATAATATTCTAAGCTAATTTTAAGTTAAATTTAGTTTTATTTACAGCTTTAATAGTTATTTAAAATAATAAAACAGATTTTATAAAGGCCAGTCAACTAGAGGAAGAATAAAATAGGTTTAGTATTTATAATAGAACTCTAAAATTAAGTTTATTTTTATTTTTAATCTTCTGCTGATTACTGCAGATAAAATATAATTATTATTATTAATTTTAACAACTAATTACAGCAGTAGACCGGATTTTTAAATACTAAAAATTAAAAAAATATAAATTTATACTTTTTTAAATAGACTATTAAAATTATAAAAAATTCTATTTTTTAAATCTATTTTATTAAGGTTATTATTTTTTTTTTACTTTATAGATATATTACTGCAGGCGGAATACAGTTACTGCTGTTAATTTTAATAATTAGTTAAAATAGTAAAACAGATTTTTAAATACTAAGAATTATAAAAATATTTTATTATACTTTTTTAAATAAATTATTTATATTAGAAAATTCTGCTTTTTAAATCTGCTGTTCTCTGTAGTTTTATTTATTTAATATTATAAATAGGGTTGCAGGATAAAAAGACTTAAAGTATATTCTAATATAAAATTTATTATTATTTATATTTAAATATAGTAATATTTAGCTACAATATTTAGCAAGCTATTACTAGTCTAATATAAAAGTTATAGATCTAATTTCTATAGTTCTATAATAAGAATAATTCTCTTTATCTAAATATTAAAGAAAGATTCCTAATATTCTATTTTCTGAGTCTGAAAATATACGCTGATTCCCTATATAGAAATGATTATTTATAGTGAAAAAAAAGATAGGCAGCTATCATCTACATGGAAAATGCAAGGATAATCACATAAGGGGAATTAAAAGGAGGAGAAAACAATGATGCTTGATATTGATGACTAGTCTGAAGCATCAAGAAAGAAACATGAACAGAATTCATCTTGGGCGCTGTTGAAATATCCCGAAGTTCCCCATGGTGCCAGACCCATTCCTTCACTCTCTGCCATGGGTGCCAATGACATTCTTTCCCCCCCTCCTGGCTAATGAATGCGCACTTTACGAAACATGACAACCCTAGTTGGATCTGGCATGACCGCAGTTCCACGATAGATGTTGGCCGGTCTAGAATCGCCATTTCTGAATTCAAAGTCGTAGTTTTGGATCACATATGCCAATGCCACTTTGATCTCATTACTGGCAAAGAAACGTCCAGGGCAGGCATGCGTCCCATGTCCGAAGTTGATAGAATGCGTACCGGTGGTAACAAACTGGTACTTGGTTTCATTTCCAGGTTTCTCACGAAGTTGCGACCAGCGGAATCCATTGAAATCTTCGGGTTTGTCGACAATTGATGGGTCCATGTTTGGACCATTGGAGCAAAACGCAAGTGATGTACCCTTGGGGATATTGAGACCATTAGACATAAGGAGTTTCGATGTTGCGATTCGCTCCATGGATACTGCCCACAGTAAGCCAAAAGTATATTTCTCAATTTTACAAAACAGACGTACCACAGCTTGGAGGATTCATCCTCTGGCTCTCCTTCAGGAAACTATCCATCTTTCGCAATTTAGGCATGCTGGACTTCCCCAAAATACCTGCATCCTGCTTCAAAACGCTTCCTAGCTCCTCTCTCAAGGGCCCTAGATACTCTGGCCTAGCACAAAGGTCGTAAATCACATGAGTAAGATTCATCGATGTAGTGTGGATTGCTGCCAGGCTTAAAAGCATCTGCATAGAAGCTTGATAACCAATGTCGCCAGCTCTGGTGCCGGAATTCTTGATGATGAATTGGATCATATCTTCTGGCGGTTGATGATCGGGCATTTGCATAGCTTTCAACCGCTCTTTCAATATCGGCTTCAACAAGCGTCCAGCAGTGGCCAGGTGGCCTTTAATGGCCTGCACCTCTGGAATAAATGGCGCCATAATGGGCTGTATGAGCCAAGGATATTTGACGATTTTTTCTCTAGCAGCAAATGTGTCCACAGTATAATTGATTGTTGCATGGATCCATTCTTCATTTCGGGAAAGTGGAAGGCCAACAAAAACCCTTCCAGAAAGGAGCGCAACAACCCTTAATAGCATTGCATATAATGGGATGGGAGTCCAATGCTCGCAAGGACCGAATGTTTCTGGGAAAGCAAAGGCGGTCTCTTCTTGTAGCCCCTGAAGAGACTTTGTAATATTCCGAGTCAGGTCCATCTTCACGGAATTCACCAAGATTTGGTCATGTGTGCCAATTGTTGTGTATTGACCCAAAAACCGTGTAAAGATTTCCTTTGCAAAGCTAGCCTTGCTCTCAGGTAGGGATTTGATCTCATCAATGAAATGTGCTGGCAGAATCATCTGATCAGGCTTTCCGGGAAGCACGTATGGTTTATCCGGCATCTGGTGAGTAATAAATAAGTAGAGAATTCCGGGTGTTATATCGACATACTCAGGATGAAAGGTATGCTCATCTCATACTGATGTATTTAGGCAAGTGTCGAACACCAAAATAAAATATTTAACTCACTGTTTTATAGGCATCGAGTGCTATTTGGTAGAAATTCAAATCGCTTTCATTGCCTATTACCTGAGCAACCGTGCCCTTAGAACGCCAGACCAAGGGGAGTTTGCAAAGGTGGATAACAGCAAGCAACAACAATATGCTGATCAGAATTTGCACGCCTAGGGAAATGCTCGAATACTCCAGGGACATTTTGAAACAGAGGAACCCTGTAGCCTGTTGTCAAAAGTAAAATATCAGTGAAGAGATGATGATGGATTGTATGATGTTCTTATTTTTTGAGATTACAGATCCTATTATCATACTTAAGTAGCCTCGAATAAATACGGTCGGAAGCGTTTCGGGAATAATAATGCGAGCATACGCGGCCTCAGCCAAAAAAGTCCATGCATGCGGGGATACGGATACTCGGCGTTTTTGGTAGCCTAGATATTGCTTGTCGATCACTTTACTGAAACACAATTTTATGCCAACATTAAGGAGCTTCATAAATCATAGTTAAGTGCCAAGACTATGACTATGAAGAGCCAATTAGTACTCCGCAGACTAAAAATGAATCCGTTTCATGAGATCATATTTTACGCAATATATTATATGCCATAGTAGACAGCCCCACAGCAAAGTTGATCAAAATTATTAGCCGAAAGTTGATTGGAGCGGTAAACGATGAGCGATAAACGATGAGCGATAAACGATGAGCGATAAACGATGAGCGATAAACTATAGGCAATAAACAGTGAGCAATAAACAATAAAGTAGCGGATGCAGTCTCTGCCGGATACTAGAGGCTTAATCCAGGTGGGTAAAAATTCGTAGAATTTGCTTATCCTTGAATTCTTTTCAAAATCAATTTAAAAAGCCTCGACCTTCATGTTTTATTTTTGAACTCGACAATAATTTCGACAACATGAAGTGCACCCATATCACTCCGTCATGTCCGGTCGAGGCAACGACATACGGTTACTACCCGAACCTAGCGGCAAATTGTCTTTACTTGTCCATATTCTGTATCTGTGCTTGCTTGCAAGTCGGTCTTGGTATCAAGGCTGGCGCAAAGACTTACACAGCCTTGACCACGATCGGCTGCCTTGGCGAGGCTCTTGGTTATGTGGGCCGCATAATGATGCATTCGAATCCATGGAGCAACAGCGGCTATATTTTACAAATCCTTCTCCTGATTCTGTCCCCCTCCTTTCTTGCGGCTGCCTTATACTTCAACCTGAAAGCTGCCATCAACCATTTTGGCTCTGAGCACTTTAGAATAAGTGCTCGTTTCGTCGCCCCAATATTCATCACCTGTGATGCTATCGGGTTTCTTACTCAGGGTGTTGGAGGGGGTATTGAGGCATCAGGTAGCAGTGGAGGCGCATCTCAGTCTACCACAGATATCGGAAACGATGTTATGATTTTCGGCATCTCCTTCCAAGCAGCTACTATGGCAGTTTGCGCAGTCTTGTTCCTGGATTACTTTATAACCTATCGAAAGGCCGGTAGAAATCGCTCAAACATGCATTTCTCGGGGGCGAATTCCCTCTCTCAGAAGTTTTACATCACCTGCAACATCGTGGCCTTTTCTACTATTCTTATCCGTTGCATCTACCGGTACGCCTAGTATTCTTGTTGGTATTCTTGTTTGAATGCTCTTTGGCTCATTATGATTTAGCATACCGGAGATGGCAGGTGGATGGGGGAACCCGATCATGAGGAGCCAGGCTTTATTTATGATCTTCGATGGGGCGTGAGTGTATCCCCGTTCAAAGCTTTACCTATCAATTTTCTAACCATTCAGGATAGCATGGTAACTATTGCGGCTATTCTGATGACTGCTGCTCATGCTGGTGTGTTTAGTTTGAGTGGCAGAGATTCCAAAAGATTGCTGCCTAGCTGTGAGGTGGAGCTTCAAGGTCAAGATGCATGATAGTTTAAGTTCTGAAGATTGAACGATTTGCCTTCATTGAATCCAGTGGGATAGATCAGATGCTTTGCTCATTAATTTTGGCTGAAAATACAGCCATAAGTAAAGTTATAGAATAGATTAATAGATCAAGCTCAAGAGGAGCAATCTAGATCCATGGACAATACATGTTGAGAACTACGATAATCATCGGCGATCAATGACGAGTCTAGGCTTACCGCCTTCGATTATTAGCCGATATGATAAGAGGGAAGTCAGGTTAGCCGCTCTTCCGGCAAGCTTCCTCAGCCTCAATAAATTTTTCATGTGTAATTAGAGGTGACTCTATGTCTTCGCGTCGTTTTCACAAGAAGTCACGTACAGGATGTACGTCATGTCGTTCGCGCAGAATAAAGGTAATGTTCAATGAGATTTACGTCCATACATACCCTAATTCTTAGCTAGTGCGACGAAATGCGTCCAAATTGTGCCAACTGCCAACGAGCAGATTTGTCTTGCCATTATGTTCTGCGAATGCAAGAATCCACTTCATCGGCTCGAAGAGTCAATATTGAGCAGAATATTTCTCCCGCCAGTCCTCAAGCACAGGCTGCGCCTGACCGAAAGGGAGGGGAATTTGATTTGCTGGACCTAAGATTAATGCACCATTTTACCCTGGTCATCTCAGCTTCCCTTTTCGAGGACCGTCAACAGAGTCTATGGCAGGAAGAAGTTCCAATTCAAGCGGCTTCGTGTCCACTTCTTATGCATGGTATATTGGCTATATCCGCTCTCCATTTGGCATTGTCCAAGCTGGAAGAGGTTTCACTGCATTTCGACCGGGCGCTATATCACCATACCCTCAGTCTTCAGATATTTAATCGCGAGATAACAGCTTCCAATTCCTCGAATGTGCATTTGCACTTTGCATTCAGCATATTGCTCATTGTCTGGGCTTATGGGTCATCAGCTGCAGTGGATGACCAGTATATACAGCTAGACAGCCTCCTGGGCTCACTGGAGCTGGTACGTGGGTGCAAAAGCATGTTTGAACTCCACAGCGATGATATCAAAAACCAAGAAATCGGTCGATTCCTCGGGCTTCATGCTTCAGCGACCAAGAGAGACTTGTCGAGTACGACTCAACATGCGTTCGCATGCTTGCGCTCTAAGGCAGAGGATTTCATTGACACTATGGCAATAGACCATATGGAACGCCACATACAATTTGTCGGAATTGCATGTGATATACGATCTGTAATAGGCTGGCCAGCCGTCCTTGACGATACTTTCTGGGCTCGGATCAGAGCGTATAAGCCTGTTGCAATGTTGATACTGGTGCATTACTGTATGCTTCTTGACACATGCAAAAATCATTGGTGGATAGCAGGTTGGTCCGGCCGTCTTATTAAAGCTGTGGAAAGAGTCCTCCCCGACTCAGAAAAACGCCGGCTTGATTGGGCGACCCATATAACTTGGATTCGGGATGAGATCATAAATTCTGCTTGACTCCAGTTCTCATTCTGATAGCCAGCCGGTATGGTTATTGGATCGTCAGTTGTTGATTCCTTCAGCCACGCCATACCCAATAAACACACATACTACGTTATGTAATTCAAGTGTTGTTTAGAATGGAAGGGAATCAATAAGTGATATTCAATACATTATGGGATGGTGGGTCACTTTCATTAATCAGGTCTTGATAAAAAAGGACATCGTCAAGGCCCCCCTGGAAACTGCTAGCAGCTATTTACAGAACAGGGGTACAGGAGCGAATGACGAGTATGGAAGACAGCCCTGTTACAAATTAAACTTGGAATAATTAATTGAATTCCCAACTTCGATTCATAAACCCCTCATTCGAGCAAGAACCTAGCAGCCAGCTCGTACGCCTCATTTCTTGCTTTTCCGAGAACGGTGCCCTCCTGTGCTCCCTTATCCCACCCATGCGGGCAGTTCTCGAACCTTCGGATGGAGACTTGCCTGCCAGGCAATATAGATATCTTGCGGGCAAGGTCCTCTGTCTCGGGTGCGAATGAGTCTTGAGATGCAGTAATAAACAACAGCTTCGCAGGGAATTTCTCCGGCGGTGTGTATGAAGGAGAGATTCCAGGAATTTTTCGATCCACATTAGGTTGGATATAGCATCGATGGAAATATCGAGATACGCAAGCAGGCATTTTTTTGCCTGTGTTATCAAAGGGCTGCTTATCTGCGGGGTCCTGAGCGAGGTCTGCTGGGCCGTAAAAAGACACCACTGCAGAAAAGGCATTGGCGGGAAACATAGATGCAGAGGAGACTGCCAAAGCAAGATTGGCGCCCGCACTAAAGCCGGAAAGGGCGACAGCATTAACATCGTAGATGGTCGGATGTGAATGGACATACTTGACAGTGTCCTCAATATCTTGAAAAGCTGCCGGAAATGGATGCTCTGGGGCTAAGCGATATTGGATGTCAAGGACGGTGTAATTTGTCCGGGTGGCAATGAAACGGCAAAATTGATCATCGCTTCCATGTCCAGGTAGGACGAAACCACTACCATGAAAGTTGAGTAACACCGCGCTTGGCCTTTGTTCTGAAGCTCTCTGCGGATGATAAATGTGTGCTTTTATGGGCCTTCCCGCGTCTCTTGAAGGCAGGTATACTATTTCATCCGGACTTGAATTTGCCAGGTGACCCACAGCAATGCGGGTGAGGGTGCGTAACAAAAGAGCGACGCATTTTAGGTATGCATACCTAAAGATCATATAAAAAGCCGAGACAGTCATAATGAGAAATGGGGTGTTATTTGTTAAAACAGAGAAGAAAATGTAAAGTTTAAAAGAACCTATGGTTTATTGGAGGTATTTATGGCTGGCTCGACCTCTTCCGCCCAGCACTCTAAATTGCAGAAATTGGTAGGCTAGGCTGAGAAGTAGATGAGGCAAATCATTTAACACTGTGCGGCAAGAACGGAACCGCACTAACAGGCGGGGGCCTTGCTTAGCGTCCACGGGTGTTTCTAGTTTCCGGCCTCCTCAGTCATGCGTTTGATGTGTTTGCATTTTCATTGAAAAGTTTTCAATGAAAAGTCTATTTCTTTTGGGTCAACAATACAATTACGAGACAAGACACCGTATTTTAGTGAAAGTAGATCACAGTAGTTAGTTAATTATCAATACTGAGAGAGGATTATTGATATTCTGTGACTAACTATTCTTAATATAGTCTAATATCTCTTGGCAGGGGGTCTAGAGAATCTGTTGAAGAGTGTAGAGGATGCCCCAGTTTCAAGACCTACTGTAATTGTGATCAGAATTTAATCATGATTGAGTATTAACTATACCAGCGGACCTGCAAACCAATATTCGGATTAGCCTGTGGTCCACCAACTAAGTGCTCAATTCAACGTACCCCCAGATGACTACTATCATTTTATCGAACCGAAAGGAGTGCCCATTTTCTTCCCGTAGTTGGATGCCACTTATAACGTAATGCGCAGCTACTGCTGTTATTCTGACGGTGAATTAAGTCAGCTTTTCATTATATGTCAGCATCCTCTTGTAGCTTTTATAATATCTGCTAACACGTACAATAAGTGCAATATCATTTCATTCTGGTAGACTAACAAAAACGCGCCAAAAAGGGTGGGGGGAAGGAAACCTTATATCGCCAGCGACACAAAGTTATTTCTTATAGCTAAGGTACTCAAACTACTTGTTGTTGTCCTCTTCTATGTCACCTTGTCTGAGACGCATCTCTCTTTAACGATCATACCTCACCCCAGCTTCGGCCAATCTCCGCTCCTGATCTTCTTCACTCAAGCGGTGCCATTTTTCTCTTTTTGCCATACTTTTAAGGAAAGAGTTGTAGCTAAAGCGAAGCGGGCCTTGAGCTTGCTTCTCTTCACTTCCTTGGCCAGTAGTGTTCGAAGGGGGGATCTGTGTAACGGGCGAAGCAGATGAAACAAAAAGGCTGGTGTTGGCTTCAGCCTCTTCTTTGATGCCCGTTCCTTAAGGCTGAATTCCAACATGATTCAACCCGGAAGGGTTTGATGGCTTAATCCAACCTGGAGTTATTTGATTGGAAGGAGAAAGGCCCTATGACCATTCCTGTTGCTCTCCTTTTGCTATAAAAGCATCTAGCAAACATGGGGTCGGGGAGCAGTCAACTATTTGGCCCTCGTCACTCAGGAATATCAAATATCTCTCTTCTTGTTTACCCCATGCTTTACTAATCTTGGATTCTGCTGCTTTGCGGCCTACCAGCCTGACAAGGTCTAACTTTGTAATCCATAAGAAGTAGTGCTTACTGATATTATCCGGATCAAGTCTAATAAGGAGCTTTTTATAATCAGGCTTAATGTTCTTTTATTTGATCTTGACCCACGCCTCCGGACTGTGCTTGTATTCGCGTGTATTTGATCTGATTTCAATAGTGATTCCCACAATCTCTTGAATGTTTTCTTTTGTATATAGCCAAATCTTCTCCTTCTTTTCATTCTTGTAGTCGGAAAGGGTGATGCGGTGGTATAAAAGATTCTTGAATCCTTGGGTATTGAACGCATTAGTCCGCATAAAATGATAGATTAGCGCATTACATAGACCACCCCGCAAGATAGCAAAGGCGCTTCTTCCCTTTCCACCGAAGCCATCAAGGACTCCAGATGGGCCACTATTCAGACTAAGGGATTTGAAATCCTCAAGAAGATCCAACTTGTGATCTGAATCGGAAGATGCAGACACAGAGATATCAGGTCCTGCCCTAGTTGAAGCTGCGTCATCCGTTGATCCAGATGACTGGCTTCTTAACACATCTAGCTGGCTTAAATTTGCTTGTGTCTTGCCAAGGGGCTTGTAGCTGATATCTTCCATATCCTCATACTCTGGCTTAGACTGCGTCTGCACTGATTGACTCTGGTCACCTTCACCAGCAGATTTTTACTCTCCGGCGTCTTAGTCACGATAGATGATTATGCATTGGCACTACAAGCCTTTTCAGAACACATGTTTGCCTTGGCAGCTTCCCGCAGCCTTTCTTTTGCTTTCTCTTTCTCTTTTGCGGCTGCAGCCCTTGTTTTTCCGATTGCTTCGCCTGGCATTTTTAAAGACGAATTTCCGGAAAGTTTTAGATAAGAAAGGAATTGTTTATTTTGGTTCTGATCAAGGGATGTCGGTTATATATACATGGCCGCACACTAATCAAATATGTCACTACCACACGTTTCAAAGGCCGGCTTCGAAATATCGCAGCGGCCGCAATAACTTGGTGGTACTTTTTACTAACCAATTTACTATGTAGCCGCTTGAAAGAAAAGATTTAGACTTAAGAGCTTTACATCAACAGATTCTCTAAGAAATGGCATCCCAAATGGCTCCGGCAATATTCATCAAAGTGAGGAAGCCTGCAAAGATTTTTCCGTATTTGCTCAATCTTAAAAGCTTAGTCTGTTTACTGGCTTATGCACTAGTGAGCACATTTGCCAGATTTGCTAGCCAAAATTTGTTTCTGCAGTCAACAGAAGTGGCTAATATGGCCCGCCATCAGCATACTGTAAGCAGTTTTCTACTCCACAAACCAAAGCATCCCTGACACGGCTTTGGAAATGCATGCATTTTATTTAAACTTAAAACTATCTTATTCTGTAAATCATAATCAGCATATTATATCACTAGAAAGAAGCTAGAAGTCAGAAAAGTAAGCAGGATCAACCTGCTTACTAATTTAGGAAACAGTTTCTGTCTGCTAATTTTTAAGCATATACAGACCTATTTCTTATTTTTCTACAGTACAGTACAGTAACACAGTTGCTCCGTCTTCTACTGTACACTGTACTTACAATATTTAACCCAAAACCTAAGATTTTCATTAAATCACCAAATAATGCCACTTTTAAGCTGTTTTAATAAAAACCTCCAGATTCTAATTTTTGTAAATTTATATAATATCTCGTCATCTTCAGGTACAGCATTATAGGCTTAACAAAAATCTGCTGTCAGCTTTTATTATTAATTTGTAAATACTGCCAAGCAACAGTATGGTCCCAGAAACAAGATATTTAAAGCAATTACTAATATACTTTCCAGAATACATAGTCAATATAAGAGTCGGCGTATTAGACACAGAACACAGAGGTAACTATACAGAAAAAATATTAATCATTCTTATAGAAAAAGATACTGCTAGGGATTAAGCAGCTTCTGTATATCTATTAAATTGTTAGATTTTCTTAGTTGTAACACGCCTACTGTTATTCCTAGGGTTAGCAGTACTGTTATAATCATTTTTATAGCAAGTCCGCCTTCTTGTATAAAATACTATTAGCCCTTTCTAGTTTTTAATAGAACAGTCGCTGCCGATCCTTACCTGTTTTTGAGACGATCTCAAAGTATTGTATATATTACCACAGTTAGCTTCCACTTAATATAATCATAGTAAGAAGTCAATATCAACACCACCTTCTGTAAAGCTATCTTAGACAAATTTTCAGGCAATCACCTGGAGGTTTGCTTAAGAAAGTCTTAATCCTGACCAACTTTAACTTTTCACCGCCCTCTCTTTTTATCACACTCTTTGTTTATTGCTCTTTCTTTTTATTGCTCTCTCATTTTATTGCTTTCTCTTTTTATTGCTCTTTTCACCGCCCTCTACTTTCTGCATGTGTGGTTAAATTTTAAACTTTCTATAATTTAAAGAAACTAAGAATAGATTCTTATCTACCAGGTACTGGTAAGAATTAGAAACTTTTTAAAATTATTCCTAGACTGTTTACAACTTTTTACTGTACTACCAAACCTATCTTACCCACTAACTAAACTGCCCTATAATATAATATAAAGCCGCTCTTTTACATCTTAACCATCTATAAGGGGCTTCTGAAATTAGTTTAATTAGTATATACTGTAACCCTCCGCCAAAGCGAGCTGAATTAGTATAGACTAATATATATATAAAGAACTAAGAATTGCTGTATCTACAGATTTTATATAAACTATATAAAGAATATAGGCTAAGAACAATTATATAGTAATATAACTAACAGAAGTCTTATATTTTTATTTCAAAAAGTGCAGGGGTCTTTTATAAAGATCTGTATAGTCTATATATAGTTGCTATTAATTGCCCACTAAAAGGGCCTCCTTTCTTAATTATTGATTATATTAATATTAATATAAACATGTTCTAGTAGTTAAGCAACTACTTTGGTCTGTCCAGCTGCTGCAGTAAAGATAAAAGCTGTTTATTCTTTAGATTTTTAGTTATTAATTATAATTTAATCCTAATAGTATACAAAATGTACTATAGACCAGTGTTGGCCTATAATTACTACCTAACAAAGGCTGACTCCATCTGAACTTCTTTTATTAATATTAACAAAATTTTATCATAAAATTTCTTTAACTATTAATAAATATCCTAATCTATAAGCAGCCTATATTAGGGAGATACTTTAAGTATCAGCTAGAATAAATAAGGCCGGATAGCTTAAAATATATTTTACAATAGGTAGCAACTTTCCTTTAATTGCAGCTGTGAAAGGGGCAACTTTAGATTTATACTAAATACTAAGATTAATATTTAGCCTTTATGAAATAGACTTTACAACTGCTTTTTTGTTATTTTCTATAGTATATAATAATAGACTCCTACCATCCGCGCTTTGAATATTAATATTAATTTAAAAATCCTCCAGCAGTAACAGGGTGGTTTAGTTAAACTGTTTATATAAAGGCTTTTTTGATACTAAAAAAAAGATATATCTCTGCAATGATTACAACTATTAACCTTAGCCTAAGGGTTGTAAATTATAATCTAAATTACAGTATAATAAGCTTATTGTACAGCTAAATAAAGACGATTTTTACTGTGAAAATTAGCAATATTAAGACTGGTACAGGAATTGAATAGTAATTTTAAAAAATATATATATATTTCACCGGATTTAACTGCATATATTAATAGTGTTATGCCTTTATCACAGTAACAGTTAAGATTAATTATTTTTTTTAAAAAAAAGTAGTTATACTGTATAAAGGTTGCTGCTAGTTACTGTAAAAAAAGAGTATACTAAGGCTATTAGGCCCTTAGTAATTATAGTTAAATTCTGGTTGCCCTAGCAGAAAAATAATAGCCTTTTTTTGTTATAGTTAATGTAAGGGCCCAAACAGCCCTTCCAACCTTCGCGGATATCTGCAAAGGGAAATGTATATAGACAACCTAAGGCGGCAGTTATATAACAGCTAAGCAAGCCGGCCGCAGCCGCCCCCAAGGGCGGCGGCTGCCTTATAAGTTAGATAAGGCAGTAATAATACCTTAAGATAATATATTAGCACCCTTAGCTTTATAAAAGCTATTTATTTATTATACTATTTTATTCTTTAGCCTTTATAATTTTATTATTTAATACTTTATAGAATAGCCTGGTAAGTAATAGCCGGCTATAATATATAAAGCTAAACCAGAAGTAACTTTTCTAATCTAATTATAAAAAACTATATATTAACTGCAGGGGATAAATTATTTATACTAAAAAAAAAATATAGGTTCTAATCTAAAATCTTTATAAATATTTATATTTACTTAAATAAATTGCCAAGCTGTAGGAACAGGTAAAAATTAGTACTGTAAAAAAATATCTATATAAAAATTTAAAAAACTCTAATTTTAGTACTATAGAAATTAAAAAAACTAGTATATATATTAATCTATCTATAGATAAAAAATAATACAGTATCTGCAACTATACTATTTACTGTATATTTATTACCAGATAAAAATTAACTATAAAGACTAATAACTAAAATAAAAACTAAAAAGTATATATTATAGTAGCCTATTTAAATTATATTTTAAATAATCTATAGAAAGGCAAGGCAGCTAAATTCTACTATAAAAAAAAATAGGCTGGCCTTTATAAGTTTTTTAAAATACAGCTAGAGGATCCTATAAATAGACAGCAGAAAGCCTAGTTAAAAATATTTAAAATTAAATTTTATAAAAAAAAACTAAAGTTTACCTATCTACAAAAATAAAAGAAAATAAGAACTAAATTAGATTATAAAATATAAAATATTAATACTGTATAGTTGTATTTATTTTTTATATTTTTTTTTCTACAGTCCAGAAAAAGATCTATAAACAGTAGATTTTTTTTATAATTAAATAAAATCTTATTATACTATTTATAAGATTATATCCAGTACTAAGTTAATAATATAAATAAATAAAAAATAAAATACTTTATAAATAGACTTTAAAAAAAAATTACAGATCTACTACTTTTATAAATAAAATCTAAAAACTAGAGATTTAGATTAATAGTTCTGTAAAAGAAGTTTAGAGGCTAAAGTAATTTTTTTAATACTATAAATATTTACAGAAGCCCCCGGATTAAAAGTTTACTATAATTATAAATAAATAAATTATTAAATAAAAAATTACTGGTTAACTAAACTACTTATAAAGTAACTAGTAGATAGGATTATAGTATCTGTTTTAAACTAAATTAAAATTATAATCTACCCCAGTTTAAAACTAAAAAAATAACTAATTCTCTGTAAAGAAAAAAAATATTTTATAAAAATAAAAATTATTATAAATAGTAGAGTAGAGGTAAATCTAGTATTTATAATATTTACTAAATAAATAAAATAGCTAACTATTTTAATAAAAATAATTATAAAAAAAATTGGATAAAAAGGTGTACAGTTAAAAAAAATTATAGTATTTATAGTATATTTAAAAAATATTTAAAAATACTATAAAAATTAAATAGGTCTTATAATTACAATACTAGAAATAAATAAGATAGTTTTAGAAATACTTTAAATAAAATAGTAAAAGCCTATTATAAAATTTAATAAATATAAACTTTAATTTTATAAATACTGTATACTAAGAGTACTATAGATTACAGCAGAGAAAATTATACTAAAAAATTTTATAAAAATAAATTTTTATTTAGTAATAATATAAAAGATTTGTAAAATAACTATTAACTAAGAAATACCAGTATAGTACTATAAATATAAAATAGTATTTATAAAAAAAAAAAGCTGTAAATTTGCCTATATAAAGACTAGAAGTAGATTTAAAAATTAA